TTGCGGACAACGCACCATCCATGCCTTTGATTCGGGTCAACGACATGGCTTGGCACCTTCATTACTTGAGACGCTGCGGGGAAGCATACTTTTGAAACATGGACCTTCGAGTCGACCTCAGGCCACAACTTTTGCGAATGATGCTCGATACGTACGAAGAACGTCCCTTCCCATATCCTTTTCATGTCTTGAGGATTCCCACAAATCGCTTCAATTACGCTGTGTTACAATGTTTTACATCCCTGCATTATGGATGATATGTTCTCACTCACATGTGTTCAAGTCTCTCTTTATACACTTTACTTGTGTAGACCGCATGTTAATTACATTACCTGTGTAGACTGCATGTTTGTAATCACTTTCTTTACTTGCGTTGACAGCATGTTAATTACATTACCTGCGTAGACCGCATGTTTGTAATCACTTTCTTTACTTGCATAGACCGCATGTTAATTACATTACCTGCGTAGACCGCATGTTTGTAATCACTTTCTTTACTTGCGTAGACCGCATGTTAATTACATTACCTGCGTAGACCACATGTTTGTAATCACTTTCTTTACTTGCGTAGACCGCATGTTAATTACATTACCTGCGTAGACCACATGTTTGTAATCACTTTCTTTACTTGCGTAGACCGCATGTTAATTACATTACCTGCGTAGACCACATGTTTGTAATCACTTTCTTTACTTGCGTAGACCGCATGTTAATTACATTACCTGCGTAGACCACATGTTTGTAATCACTTTCTTTACTTGCGTAGACCGCATGTTAATTACATTACCTGCGTAGACCACATGTTTGTAATCACTTTCTTTACTTGCGTAGACCGCATGTTAATTACATTACCTGCGTAGACCACATGTTTGTAATCACTTTCTTTACTTGCGTAGACCGCATGTTAATTACATTACCTGCGTAGACCACATGTTTGTAATCACTTTCTTTACTTGCGTAGACCGCATGTTAATTACATTACCTGCGTAGACCACATGTTTGTAATCACTTTCTTTACTTGCGTAGACCGCATGTTAATTACATTACCTGCGTAGACCGCATTGATTGTTCAAATTTCATTACTTGCGTAGACCGCATATTTTGCTTGCGTAGACCGCATATTTGTTCAATTTCACTACCTGCGTAGACCGTATGTTTTGACTTGCGTAGACCGCATGCTTATGTTCAATTTCATTGCCTGCGTAGACCGCATGCTCATGATCAATTTCATTGCCTGCGTAGACCGCATGTTCCACTTACACATCTATACCTTCACAGCGTTGTTAGGCTCCCCACTCGCTTTGCGTTGTCACGCATTTCGAGTACACTATTATGCATATTGTTAACGATATTGTACCTGTTAAGTTTGTTTTCTTTGCAGGCACGATATTGTATGTATGGTTCATTTGAGGCTGGTGCAACCAGACGAGCCGCACAGGTATTGTATCCTCCGAGTGAGACGTATTGAGAATTATATAATTCTCTTACATCCCTTCTCCATTGTAGTGTAGTTCGGTGTATGCTAGCTTAAAATTGTCGCATGTATGCTTCATTACAGCTTTCTTTGCATGATCATAAGTTATGCTCGGCTTCGTACATTGTCTTGCATTTTGCCCCTGCCTTCGGGCGCATATCTCG